TATGCCCTCGAATTCATACTATTCTCTTAAAGTCTCCTAACATTTCTCGTATAATCACTTATACCATATCATATGACTTATACTTGATTATCTTATTCTCTCATTTCATTTCATTTCTTATGACTCTATCATATAACTTATTCCATGTTCTTCCATTATTACATAATAAAGTCTTGCATAAATCATATAGCATATACAAAGCATATCATTATCTTTAGTCATGCATACATACAATCAATGTAATACATATAATCACATATAGTTATAACCAACACATAATCATGTCTATGACTTCATGCATATTACTCTAGGAAATAGACTCATCGCAAGTCTTATTTCCATTAAACACTACATGTCACTAGTATGCACTCACCTTGGCCTCACTAGTCAATTCCAATCTCTTATCTTTCCCTTGATCGATCTTACTTGCCAAATGTTCCGGAATTGCTTTACGCGCAGAATCTACATAAATGTACATTTTGAGGCAATCATTATATACCTACACCTTGTAATTGGATACTAGCAACTTAAACGAACTTATTAAACTCATATTCATAATTTTCCTTTAGGGTGGAATCGGTTCCCTCCTGTGGGGGTATCGATTCCCCTTTGACATTCTATAAATTCTGGTTCGTTTGAGGGGGTATCGGTTCCCCTTGAATGGGTATCGATTCCCCTTGCCCAGAAATCACATTTTTGAGCTCGAAATTCACTTCATTTCAGCTTAAACCTTCATATTTTACTTCCTTTAATATTCCTAACTTCCATACTCATATTTAAACTCATTTCTATTCCATAATCACTTATTTAAACCCAAAATTCCATCATTTACATGGCATTCAAGAATCACACTAAATTTTCAATGTGTTCTAATTCCAATTCTAACACTTCATACTTCTTAATTAGATTGATGACAAGTCAAATTCATCCATAAAACTTCAACAACCATACCATATCAAAATTTCATCTTAAAACTCATATTACAAATTCCTTCTTAATTCCTTTATCTTATTGTTTAAATCACATATAAGCTTTCCTTAAGCTTATTTAATACCCAAAGAATCAAAACTATGCTTAAAACTCAAGAATTGACCAACTGAAATTAAACTTACCTTTGCCATGGAGCTTACGGGAAGAGAGGAGGAAGGAGATGACCCAGTTCCAGAACTTTCTTTTCTTCTCACCCTTTCCACGTTTTTATCACCTTAAAAGAAAGATAAAAATCTTTCTGGTCAAATGACCATTTTACCCTTAATTTCCTTTAATAATTACTAAATAACCTTCAACATATATTTCCAATAATCATTAAATTATTTCATTCTTCTACGTTGGTCACCAAATTCTGAAACTTTTCAATTTAATCACTAACCCGGTATTGCGGATGTTATAGGAAGCATACTAAGTGTATGATTTTCCAAATGGAGCACTGATATTGCTAATATTAAAAGGAAATTACTTGAATTGTATGAATTTCCTATGGAATGTATGGATTCCAATAATGATTGATAAATGAGTTAATGGCATCAGTAATGTAGATTATAGTATATTCATTGGAATTAAAGATTCCTTGGAGATTAAATATCATAAGATAATATGTACGTAAAAATGTTATTTGTGATTATTTATGCCTCACTAAGTAATACTTAACGTGTGTTTATTTCACGCGTAGGTTGAATACAGCTTGTAAGGAGATATTTGGATATTCAGTCAAGATCGCCTCATCAGTAATCATATGACATAATGAACTGTTTTAGTTATATTTTAGTCGGCAAGTAATAGATTTTAATAAAAATGTTTTAAATGACTTTAAACGTATTTATGTAAATGGTAGCTGTATAGTGATGCACGGTTAAATTTTTATGAGTTTTATGCATGTTTGCAGAAGTTACTGTAGCAGTATTGTAGCAGTGTATCGATGCACTGTAGCAGTTCATCGATACACATTTTTTATTTGAAATTTTGGTGCATCTATGCACTGTTCACGGTACTGTAGCAGTGCATCGGTATACTATTCACTGTTCACTATTCATTTAAAAATATTTAGTTTTAAATTTGTTATAACGAAGCATAATGCATATGATATGATATGATATTATCATAATATCATTGACCATTTTTAAGAGAATAAATTTGTACGAATTTTTATATAGTAAACTGTTTCGAAAGTGATGGGACATCTGTATCTTGTATACATAAAGGTATACGGGAGATGGGTGTTACAGTAACACCTTTTTCCAAGGTGATATTTTAAGAAATTTATTTTCACCGACTTGATACCTAATATCTTTCATCTTTAGATCGAAGTAAGACTTTTGCGATGAGTAGAAATCTTAAGATTATCCTTAATAACCTTCACTTTATCTTCGACTTTTTTGATCAAGTCAAGTGCGATAATATCACGATCCTTAAGTTTATACCAATTCAAAGGAGTTCGACATTTCCTTCTAAAGTGCTTTATAAGGAGCCATCTTGATACTTTCTGATAATTATTGTTATAAGTGAACTCAATTAAAGGCAAATACTTCTCTTACGAAACTTTAAACTCAATTGCGCATGCTCTAAGTATATCTTCCAAAATTTGAATGGTTCACCCAGATTATCCATCCATTTGAGGATAAAAACAGTAATGAAATGAAGCTGAGTTTACAGGGAATTATGTAAAGATTTCTAGAATCTTGAAGTGAACCTTGGATCTTTGTTCGACATAATAGATACCAACACCCCATACAACTCAACATACTTATACATAGAATAATCAGTTCGAATTGGGATGAAGTGTGTTACCTTAGTTAATCTATCCACAATCATCCAAATTAAATCCTTCTTGTTTGGTGTTGGTGGCAATCTAGTTATAAAATCCATCGTAACTTTTCCCACTTCCACCGAGAAATGAAAATTGGTTGTAACAATCCTGAAGGCACCTAATGTTATGCTTTGACGTGTTGACATATTAAACACTTAGAAACAAACTCAGTTATGGCTCTTTTCATGCCCAACCACCAATATCGACTTTTGAAATCTTGATACAACTTGTTTCCTCTTGAATTCTTAGTCAATGGGATACAATGCACCTCTGTAAGAATCTCTTGGTTTAATTCTTCATGTTCATGTATACAAACTCTTCCTCGATAATATAAATATCCATCAAGCTTAACTTCAAAGTCTTTAGTTTCTCCATTTTCAATTTGCTTTATCCTTGATAAACATTTTTTATATTTGTTTTGAATATCTTCAATTTGATCTAACAACGTAGGTTTCAACTTAAGTTCTACAACAATACATCAATCTCTTTCATAGAAAATTACATATTCAACTTGAGATTGGATCTAATGAAATTCCCTTATTTCGAATTAGCTCAATAATTAAGTATGAATGGGTAGAATCATGATCAATCAACATAAATATATGTTTATCAAAAAGTTTGAATGTACCTACAACGATTTTTGGATCATTACAATCTTCTTCAATTCAAATTGTAGACGCCTATTTTCATCCGGGTTAATTTAAAATGTTTTTTCTTATTAATTTTGGTATATTTTATATTATTATTATAATAGATTATCATTATTATTTTCTCTTTTTATTTTATTACTAATTATTATTTATTACATGTTATTAGTATAATATTATATATTATTAATATCACATATTATTATTTTTTATCATAAGTCTTTATTATTATTATTATTATTAACATTAGTATTATTATTATTATTATTATTAGATATACATATATTAAATAAATGAGTTTTATTGTGCACATCAAATTATTTTAAAAAAACCCCCAATTACAGACTTGAACCAAACAGCCCACAACTTTAACATATCAAAGGAAAACCCTAAGAAGCTCTAAAGTTTCCAGCTGCCATCTTTATGGTAAAGCTGGATTGCTTAATTTGGCTTTATTGTTTCGTATTAAAAAATACTTATCATATAAATTAGTCTCTAATTGATTATTAAAATATCATATTAATATTAAATATCAAAATTTTAAGATATATACTGTTCTAAATTTTTATCTAATTTAATAACTAGTTTATATAATAAAAAATATTATTTTTTATTTTTTTTAAATTTAAATAATTATAAGATAATATTTATTTAAAAACATTTTAATCATGAACAATATATATATATATCTCCTATAAATACAATTACACAAATTCTCAATTAAACTTTAGAAAGGTTAATTTTTTTTATCGATTATTAAAAAGTAGTGTTTATTCTTTTTTATTTTGACAATGTGAACACAAAATACAAGCGTGCAGTTGCAGCAGCAGGATTTTGGTCAACTGTAAGTGGGATTTTGTCTTTGAGAAGCGATCACGTGATGTTCTATATTCTTCTGCAGTGTCCCCACGTGCAAACTTAAGCAAATGCGGCCACAACACGTGTATTTCAGGCCTTCTGCTAGCTATTACATGATCATCGGCTTAATGACTCCCCCCCCCCCCCCAAAAAAAACATTTTACCTATTTTCCTAAATTGGTACTTCACGTTTTTTTATCAATAATGTCCTTAAAGTATACAAATGTTATTTATTTTATCCTAAAACTAAACGCAAATTCAACGATTGTAATATAAGTTTTACAATTTTGACGATCAAAGTGGAAGTATCTTAAAAATTCGATTATCTTGATTGTAGTTTACCCATAGTAATTTGCGCCGAATTACTGACTAGTGTGTACATGACTGGAGCCGAACGGACCGACCGACTTCAGGGCAGCGGGCAATCTGCCCGAGAAAATGAGCCTTTTCAACCTGTCAATCACCAACACGTCTCATTTTCTATCCGTACGAGAAACCTACAACCTTAACCCACCTTAACCCGTATACGTGGTTCGTACTCGCCGACCATATAACTATCGAACCCTTTCGGCTACCACGCGTGAAGTAAACTCTCCACATCAAGCGACTATGCAACTTTACCAACTCCAGTGTCATGATATTAAAGCTGTTAATTTTAAAGGGAGACCATATTGACTTTTTAGTGGAGCTCTTTGTTTCTTAGTCTTTGGTGTTTCTCCTTCCGCTAGAGGTTTTCTCTGTGTCTTGGTTTCTGCACGCTTTGAATCCATGAAATGGGTTTGCAGGATCTTGTCAAGTTTGCATTGATATGCTTTGATTCTCTTGCTTGGTATTTCTTTTCGAAAAAGTTTTCGTTTGATGTAATTAAATAATGGATTTTGTTAATGAAGTTCTGCTTTGGTGTGCAGGCCTGTCTTTGCTTTGGGTTATCCTCTGTAAGTATCCTTGTAGTTGGATTTAATGCTTTGATAAGTGTAGTTTTGCCTATTGAAAATTGGCGATTTGACTGTTAACAGACGTGCTTCCATTCAAGCAATCGAGACTAATTCCAACACCGACGCCAAGAAACTTGTTACCTACTGGATTATCTTCTCGTTGATTTCTCTGTTTGAACATGCTTTCATGGGGGTCCTTCAATGGCTACCCTTCTGGCCCTACATCAAGCTAATGATTGTCTGCTGGATGATGATACCCCATTTTGACGGCGCTTTCTACGTCTACAACCACTTTATTCATCCATGCCTCTATATGGATTTGCCGACTATAATTAACCGGTTCAAGAGGCTGCAACAGCTGCTTTTGAACAATATCCTTGCTGATGAATATGCCAAGGCACACAGACCACCTGAAGCTCTAGATAAACTCATTGCTAACGAGGTAATAATGCTATCCATAGGCACATGGGCAGTTATTCGGAATATTTAGGGTTAATGGCTGATACGAATATATACACTTTTTTCTGTGTTTCGAGGATGATATATTGTATTTATGTGTGAACATAAGTATCAATCATGAGTATATGTTTTTGTTTATTTTTATATATGGAGAGTTGAGCACCACATAGGATAAAAAAGAAGGAAAGATACTGCTTATTGAGCACAAGCTCTGTCTTCTATATGATCTAATGTTGTGTTTTACAATGCAGCCAAAGGGAAGTGAGGCTAGCATATTGCAGAAAGACATAAAACCTGTACGATTATCAGAGAAAACAGAAGTTGCTCCGGTGAACCAGGTTTTATGTTTTTGTCATAATGTTATGTTTCACAATTCATTGCCTCGTGTCCCTCTACAAACACTTGATTACGAGTTTTATGTTTTGTTCATAACCAGCCTGATTGAATGCTGAATCACTTTGCAGATTCCGCCACCTGAACCCGATGCTGTTCAGGCAGTGAATAATAAGATTGCACTTCCAGAAATCAACAGAGAAGCGGGTTTCAATCTTACAGAGATACCTTTGGAGAAGCAAGTTCAGAAGGAATGGACCTGTGCTATGTGTCAGGTGAAAGTCAGTAGTGAGATAACCTTCAATAGCCATCTCCAAGGAAGGAAACACATGAATGCATGTGAGAACTTAATAAAGGCAAAGAACCAGCCTTGCAATGGCAAAGCTGGTTCTGATTCGGTGCTTAAAGAACCTTGGAAAGATGGCTCGAGCAGCAATATTCAGGAAAGCCAAAGGAAGCAGAAACTAATTCCCAAAGGACAGGCATCTGCTGCTGCTTCAGTGGCGCCTAAGAACACTGATATTCCCATCAATAATGCATCCACATGCTACAAGGCAGTGAATACTAAAACCGAAACAGGCCAACGTAACCTGCCGAAAGAGGAATTGAAGAAGTCGGGAAATCGAGTAAAATCAAGTGATAATGTACAAGGGCAGCAATGTGTTAGAAAGGAACATGGTAAGACTAAAATCTCTCGGTTTCGGTGCACCATATGTAATGTAACCTGCAGTGGATCAGAGGACTTAAACTGTCATCTCTGGGGAAGGAAGCACTTAGAGCAGATTAAGAAACTGAATAATCTTTGAAAAGGCAAGCTTACTTGAGTCGAGCAGCTGAACTTGAAATCTCCACAGATGTGAAGCTTAAGAAACATGATGTCTCTCTGAAAGAAATCTCATAAGATTTGGTGTCCTTGAAACATTGCTTTTTACTATAGCATCAAAGAGTTAGCTTGATAATATGGTGGATTGTATAGTTTCTGGATTTTCTTATTATCCAACTGACCTACTCCTTCCATCAATCAACTGGACATTGTTACTACAATCGATCCTATAATGATGTTTCGCTTAATCCTGTAATGTTTGATAACAGGACAGGTAGGTCTGAGCAATTTTAGATATATCCATCCTACTTTTACCATACCTGAAGTAAAACAAACATGAATAGGTAACAAAAGAGAGTCTGATGCTGGAAACTTTCCATATGTCAAAATTTCAGGCTTTCACAGTACTATTTTGGCAATGAAATATTCTCATGCAAAAAACAAGGAAACAACCACAGTCAAAACCAAATCTGAAATATAATCGGATGAGAATTCGAATCTCTTAAATTTAGGGGAACTTGTTGTATAAACCGGGACAAAAATGATGTAAAAGAGGGAGGGGAATGGAAAAAACAATGAGAGGCAACCAACACATTTGTATTTTAGAAATTAAATTTAATAAAAAAAAAGGTTTTTACTCCCCTTTGTTCTTCGTTTCCTTTGATCATTTTTTCTTGTTATTCCCAACATATTCTGATCATGAAATCCAGTGAAAATGTCACCCCGATGAATCTGCAAAAAAAAAAAAGAAAGAAGTGAGAGTGATATATATAACGAAAAATTAAAAAAAAGAAGGGAAAGAGCCTTCCCTTTTAGCCGGTGATGGAGACGACATTCGAGAGCTGTTCTCGGCGATCCCAATGATGAAACGGGAGAAGGAATGGTGGAGAGAAACATACCTCGAAATAGGAGCGATCCAACGACTAACAGATGCGGATCGGAGGCAGTAAAGTTGGATGCTTTTATTCATTTTCACGATAATAAGAGTTTAGGAGAAACGGGTCTCATATTCGAGCTCCTGTGGTCGAGACGAGCGTCCCGTAAAATTTGGTCCCCATCGGAGACTGGCGGCGATGATGATGATGAAGGTCTTCAATCGATCGACCATTGTGATTGAAGATGAGTGGCGAGCAGCCGACGGCCCTCTAGAGAGTGGAGAGCCTCTTTCTTATCAAAAGGAAGGAAGAAGTTTGGTGCTTTAAAAGAAGTATATAAAGCCATCCAAAATGACGTAGTTTTGGACCCAAAACGATGTCGTCGATTTCGTTGCACCTGATCTATAGCCTGACAAAATACTCAGGGGAAATCATGGTTGCAGTCCTCCATTTTCCTCAATAATTCATTTCAATCCTTCTTATTTAATTTATTTTTTCTAAATTCTTTAGTTTACATAATATTTTGATCTAACTTTTTTATTTGTTTGTTTATTCTCAGGTTCATTTTAACGGATACATCTAACACATTTTTATCTATTTTATTTTAAATTCACTTTATTTATTTGGTCATTATTTGTATCCATTCATTTTATTTCACTTCTAATTCTTATTATGTAGAATTTAATGCATTACTTTAATTTTGGATTTTTTATATATAAATTTTACTGATTGTTTTTATTCTGTCTTATTTTAAGATAAGTCATTTTTATTTTCTCATAATATTTTATATTTTAGTAATAATTTTTTACAGGTTCTTTCCCCAAAACGGGTTATACTTATTTCTATTTTCTTCTTTTCTTTTATTGTTTATTTTATGTTTTTAAATTAGATTTTTAACATATAATATTTTTAATCTAAATATACTCTTTTCTTTATTATTTTAAGATTTCTTTACATTAAGACCCCATAAGGGCGACTCCATCAAACCACAACTCAATACCCATTCGAAGTTGTACTTCAAAGAGGGGTTCACCCCGACCTTAAAGACGCTTTGACATCTTGGCAGCTCTACTGGGGACATTAAAGAGTTAGGCCATAGTTGGTTAGTTGTTATCTTTAAAATTTTTCTTATTCAATTTTTGATCCCATTTGGTTCATATTTATTTTACATATAAATAGATGTACTAATGTGTGTTTTCAGTGTTTTCATTTTTTTTTCTTTTCAAAATTTCATTTCTCAAGATCTATACCCAAGCTCCAACCTTTTTAAGTGGGGGTGAAACCGACACTTTCGTGATAATTTATTTTATGCATGGATGCAATTAGCCTTCAGGTTCATATACCTTATGTCTTCATAGGAATTTATTTGTCGCATAGACATAAGAGAATGTATCCTCTTGAGTTTAACTTGATCCACATAAGCATGTGATGAGTTTAGAATTGAGGGTCTGGTATGCCCAATGGGGCACTGACAAAGAGAATCCGTGTCCCTTTTAGAATTAAATTGCGTTGTTGTGGAGAATAGAGCCCACCCCAAAGCCACATGCAAACCCTAGGATGATTGTTTACTTATTTTCTGCTTTAATTTCATTATTGCAAACATGCGAACTAGAAATTTATGCAATTAGGTTATTTTCTATTAGAAAGCATGCAGGATAGAAAATCATGATTGTATAGGAACAAAAGCATGTGGGTAGATATCATACGGGGTAGGAATTGTTATAATGTTTGTCTTAATTATTAATTCACCATCCAACTTATTTTCTTTTGTTTTTTTTTTGTCTTTCTTTCTTTTTCCTATCATTTGCATAATCACATAGAGGTGTTGATCTGTGAAGTATTTGTCAACTATGAATAGTTTTTATTAATGAACAAAGGGGTTGTGATGCAAGAGGTCAAAAACGTGGAAGTACAACTATGATCTAAGAAGACTCGGAAGGAGAAAGGAAACATGCTCCAAGATCCAGCAGAACGACGTCCATGAGTTGTGAAGCATGTAGGGCAAACAGAAGCGTAAGAAAAAGAATTTCTATCAACATCTAATTATGTACAAATGGAATTGGCTCTAATTCGAGCACTAATAAAGATCTGAAATTCGTGGTACAACTGAAGACATGATGTCCATTATCGAGGAACACACAACTTTTTTACACTATGATCCAAACGAGTCAGTTTTGTTTCAAACTTTACAAAGGTTGCGGGAGTAGATCTAGTTAAACAAAAGATAATGATATTAAAGACGACTCTCCAAATCATTGAACGTGAAGTCCAAAAAACGTAGAGCAATATAACAAGAAAATGAGTGAACTTCATATAGTCTCATACAATGGAGTATATCAATGGCACTTTTGATGGGAACAATCTTAAAAAAAAAAGAGAAGGTAAGAAATACAATCATCCGAGAGTTCCTAGATCAGGGTCACAAGACGTCTCATCGCATGAAAGTCTCACAAGAGGAGCAGAGGCACTAAGATATGGTACTCAGCTAGTGACCAATGAAGCAAGAAGACTTGTCAACATGTTTAAAGTCATCCAAAGTTTAGAAGTTTCAGCTCAAGTGTACCTCTAAAATATTTTTTTGTCTCATTGTAATAAAACTTTTTTCCCAAATGAGGGTTATTTATTATGATAGGAACTTTTGGATCAATGCCTCGAAATCTTCATGCATTAATCATACATTTTGCATTTTAATTTCATTAGCCTTTTAATTTGCATTCATTATACATATGTGGCTAATGAAGAATGCTTTGTTGTGAAAGGAACAAGCATTTGATTCACTACATCCCACAACACTTGATCCAATACAAAGTAAATGGAACAAAGATTGGAAAATCAAAAGATGATCTATTGAGACTGCAACAAGATATGATCCATAATAAAAAGATTGTCTGGATTCCATTGCGTATGGTCAGGCTTCTATGATTAGCTGAATAATCAAAGAATTAGTTGGATTGAATTCTGCAAACATCCCTGGGGCAAGGATTTTTGAAAGAGCGGAGGCACAACTGGCACCACGATTTGTGCTTAACAACTAGATTACTAAAGAATCACCTACGGTTTTCAAATCTTTTCAAAGTAATACCCAAACTTTCCCTAATTGCTCATACCTAAGGCAATAGGTACTTTTTTTCAGGATGAATAAACTATTATTTAGTTTCGTTAAAGGATGCATTCTGAATTTTTATCTAACAAACGTCTTCTCTATTCATTAATTCTTTGTGAATATATATAATATTTATTTCTACATTTTATGTGAGAAAGTTTCTCTCCCATGTATATATATATATATCTTTTCCCTCACTTTTCTTCAGGGCCTTAGATATTAATGGTATGGATAACAATGACATTAACCCAAAAATTGATTTTGAGTAATCTATATGTCTTGGAGAACTTGATAAGTATGAATGATAAAGGGTATGACTTGCCTTCAAAGTTATTGAAAATGGTGGAAAGAAATGATAAATAGATTATGCCTCATAAAGAAAAAATCGAAATCTTGGGATCTAAGGAAGAAAAGAATGAGGCATAACTCTTTCTGTCAAAGCATGACAAAGTTCGATCGAGTTATTCCAAGAATACAAAGATATGTTCACATGGACGTATCAAGATATGTCAAGGCTAGACACACACATGGTAGTTCATAACCTACCAATCAAGTCATAATGCAAGTCAATGCAACAATAACTTAGACAAATGAGACCCAAAGTGCTTTGGTGGCCAACATCGAAGTGGTGGCCTTTAGATCTCACCATCTAAATGAAATTGAAATAGAAGACAAGATGGGAAGAATAAGCTCTATAGGGAAAAATCAAAAAAAGAAAAAAGAAAAAAGAATCATAATGCATTAATTATTTTTTTTTTTGAATAAAAGATTAATTCTGAACATCTATGCCCTGAGGATATTTCTTTCACAAGGATCTTTATGTATGAAATGATTAATGTTGTAACCAGTTTTCGTCCGAGCACGAAATATTTATTTGGCGGGAAAAGAGATGTGAATAAATGGTTTTGAAAATAATTTGGGAGTCGCCATCGGCCTTTTGGGTCAGGTAGGTCGAATACTTAAAAAAATATCTTTTAAAAGAGTTTTTAAGAAAACATCAATTAAAAGATAAACTGATCTACGTTTTAACCAAAAATTCGTTCTTTTTAATAATAAAAAGGGATTCGTGGTCGGTTACGTTTAGGGAAGGATTAGCACCCCTACAACGCCCAAAATTGGTACTTTTTAATTATAAATTGTCTCTATTATTAGAAATTCAAAAATTCAAAATATATTTAATTTATAATCCTATTATTTTGAAATTATAATTATGAGAAGAAAAAAAATTATATATATTTATAAA